TATATTTTACTAGACGATGGATAATATCCAAGGAAATTTTTATTCAATTGACTCTTCACCATCGTCAAGAAGTTTTAGATTTGCTATACTTATAGGCTGTAGCCTACTTTAATACTTTTCTTATTTCCTCCAGCTAACTCTACATGTTCCGCCCACCTCGGCCTTCGTGGTTTAATAATAGAAGTTCGTTACGAATTTTTTTTCAATTTAGGCCTGTTTAAATTTGCTGTGTAATGATTAGCATTTGAGACATTACAGGTTCAAACTTGCTTCGTAAGCATGCTGGGACCGCTTCCTTCCAAATCCCTCCCAAATCATCACCCGTAGTTGTCACAGCAGCTAGGCGAATATTTGTCACCCACTGAGGTGAGGGCAGGACCAACCTGGGCTTTGTTTAGAGGACAATTTACATCTGCTTCTCGCCTGAGCGGCCCCAGGGAGCGCTCCGTTCTTGTAAACAGGAAAAGTTTGCCGTATAAGAGATAGAGACAGACTCATTATGCACATCGCTCCACTGCTGAAACGTATATTTCAGCACTCTCCTGTCTCATCCCTGCCACATCTAATTCATCTTTCCCAGCTCCTGGTGCTTCGTCAAGTTCTATTCATCTTCGAACTTCTCTTGTAGTTCTACATTTCCTTCGGAGTTCTTTTCCCGAATCGGAATTTTCATGTTCCTTCGATGTCAATTTGTTTGCTGTTTCTCGTTGTCACAGATCATGGGAATTCACGAATCGGTTATTCGCGGAAATCTGCCTGTTATGTCGGTCCTATTAAGCTTCATATGGGACCTACAGGCCTACAATTTACGTATAAAAAGTTGTAAGGTTAATAATAATTATTTATTATTTTATTTATTTAGTGTTCTGTCTGACGACAGGTCCATATGAACAGGATCCTTCCATCCTTTTCTCGGACTGGGACCTGTTCATATACGTTCTTGGCAGATGATCCAGAAGTGGTTTGCCATTGCCTTCTTCTGTGTGTGAATGGAGTAATTGTTGGGATGCCACGGAGAAACCGGGGAAGCCCCCGGAGGAAAACTCCGTGTTGCCTAGACCACGGCCTTGCCCAACACAAGTTATAAATTCGGGCACCGCCGGGAATCGAACCCGAGACCCCAGGATTACAAGGCCAGCGTTCTAACCGCTAGACCACCGTGGCTGTTAATAATAATTAGGTTATATAATTAATACTAATTAACTAAAAGGCATAAGGCATTGCTGATAATGACGCGTGAGTACTTTGCATCTTCTCATATGTTTTGTACTTGCCATCTCTGTCAGTTAACTTTACCCTGGTCCCTTCTGACGCTGACGTAGCAAGCCCCAGCTCGAACGAAGAATGTAGTGCAACACTAAGTATTGTTGTTAAACTCCATTATTCTGTGGAGGTTAGACATATACTTTTTGGCGTAAATACGTCTATACGGAAGGGTCATTCGGCAAAAAACAGCGTTAGGAAAATGTATAAGATCCATACCAACAATGTGTAAATATGGACCGACAATGGTCAGCTTTTGTATGGACTCCTGCGTACATAATATTGCTTTATTCCTTTGCCTAAGAAATTGTTATGTCATCTGTTTACTCGG